TATAGGTACATCTTTTCACTCAGGCCATCAGTTAGAACCTCGTTCGAAGCTGATGACAACGGGAAATCTTAGTGACCCCGGTGTCCTAGGTAACAGGTCTCCGTCACTACCAAATCAACCAGCTCCTACCACTACGTCATGAGACGCAATGCACGATCAACTTGAGGACATTATCATATATGACAAATGGCCCAGACAGTGGACGTAGATGGATCAGATAATACAAGATGAAGAACAACAAGACATGCAAAGGAGTTGGCTATTACGAGAACTGATAAACAAATGTGCGGAGGATATAATCAGGCTCAAGGACGAGGAACGAAAGGAAGGGGAAAACTACAAGGAAACTCAGAAGGAACTCAAATCTGTTGTTAGACAAACGGCGGGACGACTTCCCAAGACAGAGAAACCATGGGAAAATGTGCGCATCAAAGCCCCCTTCCAAGAGGAAATCAAAAAGCGTATATGGCATAGACCGGAGAAAGTCAGACCTCTTAATGAATTAAAACTGTGAGGGCTCACTCATCTCAAAGGGAAGCAAGCAGGAGGTCACCTTCATATGCTGATGCAGCGGTCAACCGGGCCTCAACGAGAGCTGTTGGAAAAGGATCTGAAATCCAATATTCATCCAATTCATCAAATCCTAAAGGTCAAGGCTGAGGATTATCATGGAGTCAGATTCTACTCATACAAACTTCAACGCACTGATGGAAGTGAATTCACATGTCAGGAAAACAACTTCATCATGCTCAAACAAGATGACATCTACCAAATGTTTATGGTATACAGATACCTCCCAGTCAGAAAAAGTAGAACATACAGCGAAGGCCTCGCAGCAATCAAGAGGTTCATGCTTAGGCAAGTCCGAGTTCACTCATCTCATGACCTACAGATGGCTATCGAGTGCAACATGACAAAGACAAACCTAACACAGCCAAGACTGTATGGTCCAGAGCTCGAGGACTTCCCTGCCTATCACATCTTCTTCACCCCACCAGCAGTTACATATCTGAATCACATGGATGAAAAACGCCTGATGATGATCAGTGAAGTTGAAAAATACTGTGATGGGACACTGAAGATCATCAGAGAGCAGCTACTCAAGATGAAGAAAAAGTTGGATCAAAAACTTGAGGAGGCATCGTCATACATCCTAAAGGAACATTCAGCGCTGGAAGCCATTCTAAAAGCCATTGACGATCGCCTGGACAAGAGAAACATACTGAGGCAATACGAGCACGCGCTAAACATGAGGAAGCACTACTACAAAGCTCAGAAGCAATAGCAAGACGGCACTTGATCACAAAGGGGGAGATTGTTGGAGATCATTTTATTGTGAATCAAGCTTGTCATATGACTTGTAATAGCTTAGCATTTATTATATCCTTTGTTATTAATGTTTATATTTATTAGGGTATAAAAGATATGGGGCCAATGTGTCAGGCCCATATCAGGCTGAAAACCTTTACGCAAATCTTTAACCTGCGCATATAAAAAGGCGCTTTAGGTTTAGGTTTGTGTTAACTTTCGTACTCGATCAAAACAGCCTTAGCGCATATCATTCTCTGTACGAGTTCACGGTATATCAAAGAGGGATTTCATCGTGTTCATCTTTCTGTTGTTTTACTCTTTGATAGATCATATTATATTGCTGTTATAGAAAACAGGGACTAACAGTTAATAAAGGTGTTTGGTTAATTGGCTTTTTCATTTGGCTTTTTGTCCCAAACAGCCAAAGTTGAAAGTGCCGATAAAAGTGGCGTTTAGGTTCGGTTGTTTCTTACTTTCCCTTGCTACCCACGCAGCCTTTTTACTCATATATACTCCGTATTGATTTTCCGTTGGTCCAATTATTTATCGTCCGGCAACATACATACCAAAAAATATGTCTATTGTTGAAGTTATGGATATGTCAAATTCTTAATTAAAGATATTTAAAGGCAATTAAAGATATTTAAAGGCAATAAAGAAGCGATCTAACTCAATTGTGGTCTGCAATAGAAATGCATTTAAAATTGAAAACCCAAATTGTACTCCGTATATGTTTATTCTTACAACAATGATAATGATTGAGCACACCATAAATATAGTTTAGCACATCCCAAATATCCAATAATTGTTTTTGGAACAATTAAAATTAACATTTTATCTCATAACTTGATGTACTGATGTGTACACAACCAAAATTTTGATCATAACCCACAGTATTTCATACCATCAACATTTCATACGATCAAAAAAAGTAGGGGTAATTCAAGTCTTGTGCATTATATATTAAAATATATACTACTCCGTATGTACCTTTTTATCTCAAAATAATAACATCAATAATAATAATAATAGTAACACCACCAACAACAATAATAACAAAAATAATAAAAATAATAATAATAACATTATTATTATTATTATTGAAGCTAAAAATTATTTGATGTGCTTGATAGTCATTTAACAAGTTATCAGCTGATTGTAAACGGTCATTTAACCAAACACGATTTTACGAACCGCTAATTTATCAACCAATCAAAACAGTTAACAGAATCCGCTATTATGAATCAGCAAACACAATCAGCCAACAGCCAACAACCAACAGCCAATTGTCAAATACCCCTTTATTATACTTGTTTTTATAATTATTTGGAGATAAATTTTATTTAAAATTCAAACTATGAAGTTCGCATGCATGCAATTACATTGCAATCACTTAATATTTAGATCTTTTATTGGACTCAAACATTTTTGTCTCGTTAATTCTGGTTTGGTTTGGTCTGAAATGATTTGATTTGATATGATACATGTCTAGTTTATGTATAATTTACAATTATCAAAGTCTGGTATGAAGGCTGTTTGGTCTACGTGTATTTTACAACTGTCACATTCTAGTCTAATTTATTTATGTCTGATCTAGTCTACTCTGGCTTGGACTTAAATAAGTCCGAATAAAACATCTTTCACATCAAATTTTAGAGACGTCCATTAAAATTCGGGGTTTTCCCTTAATATTACTATATTAAATCTAATTTCCAATAAAGTGATCACATTTACATTTGGACAAAAATGTGACTAATGCACACTTCCGAAGCTAATCTCTGCAGTGACATCTCCGCCATCGCCGGCCATAGTGACGCCTCCGCTGCCATCACATGTGTCACTGCCGCAGGTCGCCGGCGGCGGCCACACTGACACATCCGCAGTGACAACTCCGCAGTGACATATCTGCCCCAAACTTTGACCAAAGTGACATCATCGTCGTCCGGCCATCGCCGCCTCCGGCCAACAATGCCAGCCACAGTGACAAGTATCTCCGGAGTGACAACTCCGCAGTGACATACAATTACTCTGGCCACCGTTCTCCGGTAAGTTTCCACGACACCAACACATTCCAACCCCACCACCACGCCGCTGCCACATTCCACCACTACGCCGCGGCTTGTATCAGCACCACTCGAATGTGTCTACAACACATCAGCGTAGAAGAAATATTAAAACATATAAATATCATGTAATCCTGATCTTTATCACCGAGCACAGACCATAATTGTTGGATACTACGTATTTAATTTGTACCTCAAATCCTTTGCCAAATTCTAGTTTGCATAGGTTTGGACATTTTTTAAGAAATTGAATAACAACAGGTAAGCACTTCGGGCAATCAAAACAGAAATTGTCCAGCTTAATCGCTTGCAGGTTTATTGCAGCCGGGAACCTCTCATGCACATTAACTTCTTCACCTTCCTAATTAAGTGAGAAGCGAACTCTGTAACAAGATGAGCAAAAAAAAAACATGTATCCCCACAATTCATTATGAAAGAGGCAACACTTTGTGAAAGGTCAAATTCTCACCAGAAACGAATAAGCAGAAAATTGAAGAGTCTTAGGCCCTGTTTGGTTGGAGGGTTTCGGAGGGGAGGGGAGGGGAGGAAACTGGGGGATTTGTGTGTGTTTGGTTGAAAGAAATAGGGGGGAAGGGGAGGAAAGTGGGAGACTTTCAAAATCCTCCACTTCCTCACATTCTAAACCCCTCAAATCGGGGTATGTCAGAGGAAACGTGTTGATAACCGCAAACTATCCATCTCCTACGTGAATGAACAAAACGTTACTCCCTTGATCTCTTAAAACTTTGTCAACTTTCCTTTTTTTGATGTCTCACTAACTTTGCCACTTTCCCTTTTAACTAAAGAATTTGTAGTTTTAGTTAATTCTCTCTCCTTTGCACAACTCTCAATCACACAGTTTTCACTTTATTAATCCTCGTGTCGGAAAAACATGACAAAGTTTTAAGGGACGTAGGGAGTATAATATAAAAAGGAAAAAAACAAAACGTTTTGAAAAAATTAAAAATTTAAAAATTTAAAAAATTAAAAATTTAAAGATTAAAAAATTTAAAAATTAAAAAAATAAAAAGTTTAAAAATTAAAAAATTTAAAAATTACTCCTCCCTCCGTTCTTTATTATCTGTCCCGCTAGCCTTGGGCACGGGTTTTAATAGAAAAATAGTAGGGTAAATGTAGAGAGTGTAGGGTAAATGATAAAGTAAGAAAGTGAGTATATTAAAAAGACTAAATTGGTGATAAAGTGATGATAAAGTAGGAAAGACGGTATATTAAGTAGAGTAAAGTTATGATAAATTAGGAAAGAGAAATTAGTTTGTGAAAAGTAAGAAGGGTAAAAGTAATAAAAGTGGAGGTATTTTATCAAAAACTTTCCTAAAATAAAAAGAGAGACAGATAATAAAAAAATGTCACAAAAAGGAATGTGAAACCGTTAATAAAGAACGGAGGGAGTATAAATTAAAATTTTTAAAAATTAAAAATTAAAAATTTAAAAAATAAAAAATAAAAATTAAAAATTCCAAACTGAAAAATGAAAAATTATAAAATTAAAAAAGTAAAAAATCAAATAAAATAAAATTATGACTCATGATCCTTCCTTCCGCTTCCCTTCCTTTCCCTCCTTGACTCTCCCCTTCCTTCCCCTCCTTGACTCTCCCTTTCCTTCCCCTCCTTTGAACCAAACAAGACCTTGAGCATCGGAAGGTGAGGCTTGAAGCTTTTACATTCAGTCAGACACAAACAATCAATGAAACTGAGGCTTTTAAGTCAAGGAAATCGTCCATGTCATAACATTCATAAAAATACAGCTCTTCAAGATTAGGAATCTTGAGGAGAGTTCCACTAACATTACGCTTAAACCCAACATTACTGAATGATAAAGAGGTGACACTGGCAAATATATTACCAAGGCGAGCATTAGCAGGGAGACAAAGTTGCAGTTGCTTAATTGTGGGGCAGGAAATCAGATAAAACAGCAGAGTGTACTTCTCTGCACTGTATTGAGAAGAAGAAGGTATCCTGCAGCGACCAAAATAGGGCTGCCAGGGCGGCGGAATAGGGCGATGCACCCTAGCCCAAAATAGGGCGGCGATGGCGGCAGAATTGCCACGTCTGAGACCTTGGCAGCAGGGTCGGTCCTGTCATTTTGTGGGCCTATGGGCGAGAAACTAAGTTGGGTCTAAATTTATAAGCTAAACATAGATTATAATAAAACTACCGAATAATTGAATAAAGGTAAAAAAAATAAAGATGAAATTCACTTTATTAATATTTAAATAACATGTTTGATGAAAGGTAACAAGTATCACATAAAAAGAAAAATATTACTTAAAAACGTTTCTCGCCGAACACTGTGAAGCAAAATCATCAATAATTGCTTCATAATCAACCTTTTCCAAGACTTCATGCTCAATGCTTAAAATTGCTAATCCATTCAGCCTTTCTTGAGACATAGTCGATCGCAAATGATTCTTCAGTATCTTCAACTTTGAAAAACTTCTCTCCGCTGTGGCAACGGTCACAGGTATTGTCAACAGTATTCTGTAAGCAATTGTTGTATTCGGATAACAACACAAGTTCTTCACAAAATCAAGAATTTTAATGGCTGTGTCCCTATCATCCGGTAAAATATTTTGCAACATTTTCAATTCTTGAAATAAATCATCCATATCAATGTCTTCCTTTTCACCATCTTGTAGAGCTTCTCCAAGTATCTTACAAGAATCTATCAACTTATCAAAATGCAATGATTTCAAGTTCCTTGAATTGAACAAGAACCCATTATCTGGCTCAGTTTCAACATTTGCGGCTTCTGTACCAATATCATTATTCCCAGGCGTGTTATTATTTTCATTCGCATAAGAATTTAACGGCGATTCAACTTGAGAAGAATTTTCAGGATTCAACTTCTTAACGAAAACATATTTTTCCATTGCCCCCTTTTGACTTAAGGCTGCCTTATCTAATCTTTGTCTCTTTTTCTCTTTTTCCCAACCAGATTCACCCATTTTATCGAGCACCTTCACAATCGTAAAAAACAATAAAAGAATTCAAAATTGCACGATAGGGTCCATAGCCAATAGCACACAGATATCAATTTAACAAGACAATAAAAATGCATCACATAACAAAAACATTTTCTTATAAACAATTTGCAATTGCAAGGATAAATCATAAATTATCAATCATAAATCAAAATAAATTCTAATAGATTGAGATTAATTTACTTACCACTGGTGACTGACAGATTGTTTGAAACCTTGAAAGTTGAAAGGAGGTGTTCTAGACTTGTAAATTTGTAATTACCGGCCGACCTTTGGGCTCCTCGCCTCCTCCGTTCCTGGATTGATTGGCAGACTTGAAAAATTGAAGGCTTGCGCCTTGCCGTAACAACCGAACGGCCAGTCGATTTGAAACCTTCTCAATCAGTTATCACTTAGGCAACCTTGAACAATTGAACCTTCGTTACTTGATTTCAAAATTGAAAATAAACAAAACAAAAAAACAATGAAGTGGCCGGCCAAGTGGGTTATTGCCTTATTGGGATTTGGGAGTTTAATGTTTGGGAATTGGGATGGGGTAGATGGGAGAATTTGAAGTGTTCAGTTTAATTAGGTACTTAGGTAGTTTAGGGATTTGGGTTATTGGGCCACTGGGGATTGGGAGGGACACATTGCATTCCTTTTATAATTTTTTATAAAGTTTCTTTTATAATTTTAAAATTATGAACAAAATTAAATCATGGGCCTAATTAAATGAGTTTTAAAATACAAAAAAGATTGTAAAAAAAAAGATTATTCAAAAAAAGAATACAAAAAAGAGTCCTACTCACGCTATATATAAAGAAAAAATTTTGGGCCTATTTTTTTTTTGCTATTTTTTCGGGCCTAGGGCGGTCGCCCCTGTTGCCCCCCCCCCCCCCAGGACCGGCCCTGCTTGGCAGCTGGCAGAGGCGAGGTGTAGGGAGAAGACATGGGCGGGGGTGGCGATCTGTCTACCCTGTCCGCAGAGGCTACGGTGACGACTTTGGGGGTGGTCTCTTCTGCTCCTGCGACAGCCTGGGATGTTCCTCGGATGCCCGGATGGTCTTGGGAGCTAGTTGATGGTATCGGTTTGGCTTCAGAGACCAAAAGAATGGGGGATGGAAAGTGATGGGTCCGGTAAGTCATATTTTTGAAAAAAAACAAAAGAAAAGTAGTCATTTTTTATATTTCACAAAACTATTAATAATATTTGTGTCTTTATTCTTTAAAATCATGTCCCCTATGGTTATTCCCAATTCAACTCCAACACGAAAGCCATCTCCATCAGCGTTAAGTTCTTCAAAATGATAAAAAAAAAAGTTAGAGGTAATTTCATGGATATTAATTAAACACTTTATTGTGTTGTTTCAAGAAATCAAGAAAACTTTCACGGATGGTCAAACAATGTTCAAAAAGTACCAAACAGTGTCAAACATTGTTCAAACAGTGCACTCCACAGTAAAGTCAAATTTATTTTCTTAATATGTGTGAAGTCAAATGTGGAACTTGTTTCAGAAACGGAGGAAATATATTTATTAAAACTGGGGATTACTATGAATATGAATTTAGGAAAATATATGCATGCACTTCGCATAAACGTTCTAGTATAGTCAAGTAGTGTTCTATGCTGAGGCGGAGAATCTATCCATAATAGTTTTAATACAAAAGACAATTGTTTAATCAACAAGCACCAGTGGTCTAGTGGTAGAATAGTACCCTGCCACGGTACAGACCCGGGTTCGATTCCCGGCTGGTGCATTCCTACTTGGCAGTGAAGAATTACGGTGCTTTAAGGGTGATTTGGGTCGCCCGCTCTTCTGATCTCTCAGGATGCAATTTATATAGCACCTCTGAGCCTGTAGATTTTTTTCTACCTCTAATTTTTTTACCCTTTTCAACTAATTTATTCTGCCTCTAAATATATCTGGTTCATCTAATTTATTTTTTATACATTAGCATTTAAATCAAATTGAATAAACTATAGACTTTGGATTTCTCTACTACTTAGTATTAAAGTGTTTCCGATTCTACAAGTTTGTAATTTAGTGTTTGGTAAGGACTTGTTAAATGGATATTTTTATGGGGTTTTGTCATGAACTAGATTCTCACCCTAAAGAAAATATAGGTGCCCGTCCGCTTTAGTTATTAGCTTGATAGTTTTAGGACATGTTTACTTCACGAGTTACTAAACGGTGCTTATTAAAATTCGTGTTAATAAACAACGCATAAAATAAGCTTTGTTGTAAGTTCATGTTTATTTCAAAGGATTTAAAACATCGTTTAACATTAGAATGTCCAAAATAACCCTATACATATATAGATAAAGAAACATACATGAACACAAGTATATAATATAATACGTGGGGGTCACCTATTACGTGTACCCATATCCCTAAATCCGCTTTATACATGTACCACCGCCCCTAACCCTACCATACACCCTACCCCCTTACCTAGGGGTTAGGGGATACAGGGGGTAGGCGGGGGTTGGGGTAGAGCTAGGGTTGGGGTAGAGCTAGGGTCGGGGTGGGGGTGGGGTAGAGCTAGGGTTGGGGTCGAGGTGGAGTCAAGGTAGGGGCAGGTGGTAGGGGTAAAACGATAGGGTTCAGGTATGGGGTACATAGGGGGGTATGGTCGGGGGTAAGGTGGGGTGGTAAGGATTAGGGGTATGGTCGCGTAAAGGGGGTGGGCCGGGTCAGGGTGGGTTTGGTCGAGATAAGGTAGAGTTAGGGGTAGGGGCAGGGTGGGGTAGAGGGAACAATAATAAGGGCAAGGAGTATAGGTAAGAGAAAATTCAGAAATTGAAAAAGCTTAAAGTGACGCTTAATTAATAATGAGAGTGGTATTCTTGGGAAGCGGTACTTTAAGCACCTCTTTTGGTTAGTTAGCAGTTTTAAGCAATTTGCGTGTTTACTTCACCTCTCTTACTAAGCTAACTCTGATTTTATCAACGAGGTAAACGCCTCCTTAGTGTTGTTATATACTATCATCCTTCCTTAAAATTTTGTCAATTTTCCCGTTTTGATTATTCCAGTAACTTTTTTCTTTTAAGTAAATATTTGTGATTCTAGTTAATTATATCGTCAGTGTACAAATCTCAATAACACAATTTTATTTTATTAATCTCCGTGCCGGTCAAAATTGACCAAATTTTAAGGGACGGAGGGAGTATATTACCTAATATATCAGTTAGTAGCTTTGATACCTTTAGTCTTGTTATATACTCTCCCTGTATGTCCCTTGAGACTTTGCTGATTTTCTTTGTTGTCCCACTAGTTTTTCTGGTAAAACATTTGTAATTTCACTTAGTTACCTTTTATCTCCACAAATCTCAATCAAATAATGTTTACTTTACTAATTCATGTGCCAATCAAATTTGAACAAGTTTTAAAGGAAGGAGGGAGTATATTAGGCGGTATAATTCCTATAATGTAAGATTTTTATTCAATTAGTTATTTTTGTGATGTTAATCCGTAGTTCAAAAGAATTATACGACAGAAATACTACTCTTAATGGATTCTTTTTTATAAAGTCGGACTTAGGTCCAAATTTATATAGAATTGGCATCCCATATTGTCCATGGGCTATTAAAAATTTGATAGTGATGCACATATTGGTGTCACAAGAACAACCCCTGAAGACCGAGTTAAGTTTCACAAAAAATTTGATCTATGTTCATAATATCACTCTTGAAATTGATCTAATCCACCTGTTTGAGTTTTAAAAAAAAATCCACTAATATTACTTCTAGAAAAGTGGAGGACAAAAATGTTACTTGATAACTTTTATTCAAAGTCACTACATAGTATAATATAGTGACTAAGATGTAATATTTGAACACAATTATAATCACTAAAAGTTATCAAGTCACTTTGGTGCCCATAACTTTTTTACTAGTAATATTTTTGGAAAAACCTCTTGAGTTAATTAATGCTTTCCGTTCACTTTCATTTTTCATTACAATATATACTCTATCAAATCATCCACAATTAAGTTAATATTTTATTCTTTCAAACAAAATTTGACACTTAATTATTCAAATACTCCGTATTATACTACTATAACTTTGTCGTACAGGAGTAAATTTCAACGCTTTATTTTAATCAATTGTTGAGGTTTATTCCCTCGATCCAAAGACCCAACACCTTCCCTTGGATTTCGAGTAGAATATGAAGTGGATTAAGTGGGTAATATGGTGCAAGCAAACAAGGAAAGAACGAGTATAAATAGTAGTAAGTGGGCCGTATTTTATTCAATGAAAATAAGGGTCCGTATACAACACACTTCACTACAAGACCCGAGGCAGTTCGTCTACCTTAGTAAGAAGAGCTAGAGATAATTGCTATTGCTGGAAGGTATTAATTGTTAACCTTTTACAATGAAATAATTACTATTTATACGACCAAGGGGTAGGCGATGTTGATGACGTGGAGGAATGTAGATGGCTAACTTCCCAACCACCAAATCCATCGCATTAAATGCGCTTCCCACCAATATCTTGGTTTCCCGCCAAATGGTCTGAATGAGCGTCCTTCGGTTCCGATCTTGGATCATGTGTCTGGTTAAGCACAATGAAGGGGCTCCGTCCGGCTCTTGTGAGTCGTCCTGCTGGACGTCATGGAATGTCATTTGGCCCTTGTTGGGCCAAAGCCACTGACGTTGAGCGTCTAGAGATCCGGATGTGCGTCCGACCATTAACTTCGCCGGACCATGCCCTAAATGGGCCTTGATGGTTTTCTTGTCAAGGGGTATTGGGCAGACCCGCTACCGAGCCTATTAACCCAACATCAATATTATTGAAGTATTGTTTTTAAAAAATATACGAACATAGGAATATATGTTGTTATGAGATCTGAAATAATGAAAACCTGAAACTGGACGAAGACCCATTATACCAGTCTCGAGTCAGTGTTTTGTCAATGGGTCGGGCCATCGGGTCCAGGTCGGGATGTAATGTTCAAGACCTAGACCCGCTAAGTTAATAAAGGACTCGGATCGGATCCGTATATCCGATGGGTCTGAAAATTTAGACCTCAACTGGGACCCAACAGGTCTCGGAACTGGGTCAGATAGACCCGCCAAGTATGAGATGCATATAATAAATTTTGTGAAAATTAACATGACATGTGTATGAAGTTCAAGGAAAGTGCGCAAACTAAAATGCAAAATATATCATCACATTTCAAAAAAAAATCAGGGTTTCTCATAGAAAAATAGTATTACTATCTAATAAAGTATCGGTTCTTGTAGAGGCATATAACTTCACATTATCTCTCTCTCTCTCTCTCTCTCTCTCTCTCTCTCTCTCTCTCAGAAAACTCGTAGATTAGCATATAAATTAGGTTACAAAAAGGTCTTTTGGACTACTGAGACAAAGTGTCTCAATATAATAACATAATATATATATAATGTGATAATATATTATCATATATTATCATA